ACCAGGCAGGTGCAGAGGGGTACCTCTGGCATGGGACACGAGTACTAACACTACTTTGGTACGCACACCAGTAGGAGCACAGAAGGAGGTTCTGGATGCCTCTCCACAGGCACACAGAAGCCACAGCACACTGTGCTCCTCTGCAGTCTCTCTCAGATTTCTGGCTGCATGATGAGCTTGGAGAGTACGTAGAGGATATTTTTTTTATTTTTTATTTTTTAAAGCAGCAATTTCAGGAAAACTGAGGTAACTTATCATCACCTCTCAGCTCATTCACTCTTCCTTTCACTCTTAAAAACAGTAATGTTAAAAATTCCCAGTTAACAAGTAACTGGAGGCAAAATACAAACCACTGGCACGCATGGCTGAAGTTTTGGTACAGAACCAGGCTTCTACATACAGCACCACAGTGGATTTTAGCTAATCATTGTGCTTCTCAATTAGTGCAGACCAAGCAGGTTTACTATGTTAGAAAAGTTTACCTTAAAAGGAGATTTTTTGAGAATAGAAGAGCAATTCCTGCACAGTCACTGACTGTAAAACAAGAAGACCTGAAGGAGCAGTGGCTTTAACCTCATGGGCAGGTTATGAAAGAGACAGGAGGAAGGCACTGGAAATCTATGCTGCAAATGCTCAGTTTGCCATAAATATCATAGCCATGTAAGGTCTACACTGTCAGCATAACCACACTTGCAAATAGTTTCTTACAGATACCTGGCATACCTACCCTGGATCTGCTGCAAACAGACCTCTGAAGCAGCAGGAGGAAAAGGCAGAACACAGGCACTGCAACCTGCTTGGATGGAAGCAGCTGCACCACTGCAAGCAAACTCCTCCCTTCTTTCCACTTTCCTCCCCATCAAAGCTGGTCATTTTTACTTGTGATCTCAAAGCTCTCCATCAGCTTTAACATTCAAGTGCAGGAAGGAAGATGAGCAGACTTACACTTAAATAAATCCTATTTCTGATTGGCTTTATGGGCGTGAACGTAGAAGCTAAAGAGCAAAACAACACATAATGCTACCTGCGTCAGTAGCCTTATTTCTGAAATTGCTCTCTCCTATTCCAATGACTGCATATAGGTAAAGCCTTTGCTGTATCAAAGCTTTGGGAAATTGGAAACTGGGGAAGGAAGATTTCATTTAAAACTTGACATTTGGAGGCATCCCAGCAAAAAAACACATAGTAGATTGTTTCCTGTAGAGTGTTTCCTGAAACAGAAGATGTTTATATACACACATTTGAAGGGGCTGCCTTTCCATCCCAACATGAGGAATAAATGCTGAAGGAAATACTTCACCTTTATGATAGATGCAACTTGGATTGCAACATTTTAAATAGTACCTGGGGAAAGACTACAAGAATGACATAGGGCACAAAAGCAGGAAAGTAGGATTCAAACCAACCAAAAATCAGGCAGGCACTTTAGGCAGATGGCACTTATTCTTCCCATTAGGCTGATGTACTAACGCCAAGCATGGGCACAGTGGCAGCAGATGGGAATCACACAGCTTTGTTTGTATTTGGGACCTGCTGGAAGGGGAGCCATGCAATTAAGCAGAGAATATCTACTCCAAGCCAAAGAAATATGTATTTTGAGTCCTGCTCTACACAGCTTAGTGGGAATTACTGCTAAAATCAAACAGATCTTAGGAATCACAAGACAGAACTGAGACTTTACTTCAGAGACGCACAGCAAAAATGTTATCTTTCATTCAAGCACTAAGCTCTTCTCGTCATGTTCACACAAGCACTACACTTTGTGCCTTTACTATGGAGTGGGAGTTCTTTACTATAAGAGTGGTGAGGCGCTGGAACAGGCTGCCCAGAGAGGTTGTGGATGCCCGGTCCCTGGACATACTCACAGCCAGACTGGATGGGATCTTGGGCAACCTGGTCTGGTATTAAATGGGGAAGTTGGTGGCCCTGCCTGTGGCAGGGGGGTTGGAGATTCATGATCCTTAAGGTCCCTTCTGACTCAGGCCATTCTGTGATTTTGTGCCTTCTACTTACTACCTCAAAGATTTGCTAGCAGGAGTTCCTATTTCATGCATAATTCCTTCTACTGTTAGAACTCCTATTGGCTTGCTAGTAAAAATAATTCAACAAATAATCCAGCCCACTGCTTGATTTTACATCTACCAAAGAGCATCTGAATGCACTAAACAAGCAACACTTACTTGTGTTGCTGTAGCATTTTCCAAAGGTCTCCAAACTCTTTATAAACACTGCCTAATGAATCAGGCAATATTTATTTAACTGCCTGGCAAACACAGATACACCTCTTTTTAACAGCGGGAATGAATAGCAGTAACTCAGTGGCCAAGTTGAGAACCACTGCTCTCCAGAAGACCAATCCCTCTCTCGATTCCAGCCTCTGTCCCAGCCTGCAGACCCAAGCAAGCCAAAATACGGACAGCAGTACTTGCAGTCAATCCCGTAAAATAAGGGAGGAGGGGGGATTACAAGGAACAGAGAAAAACCCAAACCCACGGCCAATAAAGAATAAGACTGCTGTTGCCACTGCCACAGGGAGCAGACACAAACCACAGCTCCGAACAGCACAACAGCCTTGCCAGCACTTAGTTCTGACAGCAAACAAGTCTGCTGCAGTGGGATGTGCAGAATAAAGCCAAAGTTCCCAGCTAAACATTACTGCCAAAGTAGCCATTGCTTGTCAATATTTGTGAAACAAATCGAGCTTGTGTTGTAAATATCCTTGCATCTGTGTGCTGTTTGTTTCAGTATGAAGGGTTGCAAATAAGCCTCACAGCATACTTGTTCTAGGAGAATGGCCTGAGAGTCTCTGGCAGCGCTCAGCTGTACCCAGTGCCTACAAACAGCCCTCTGTGACCAGTGACAGACAGCACTCCTGCATCCTCACATTATCACTCCAGCAGTTTGCAACCACCTGTATTAGAAAAAAGAAAGCCTTAAGGAAAAAAAAAAAAAAAAAAAATCAAGGAAAATAGAAGTTCTAAAGTCATCTCAGTGCTAAGAGATTGATTTCAGAGTGCTCTATAGGCCTAACAAGTAAATCAACCATAAAACTTGGTCAGGCTCAAGCACAAGGTCCCTCGTGTGCACAAAAGCATCCTGTGTTAAACACATGAGCCTACCAGCTCCACGGGACAGACCCCAGGTGAGGACACATCTCTGCAGGAAGCAAGGACAGAAGAAAAGTCTCTGATAAAAACCCAGCCACAGCTGGACAGGCCATCTATTTTTTCCAGGCTCTTCTCATCTGAGTAATCCAAAGATATACTGCTCAACCCTCCAAGAGAGAGCTGCATCTACTGTTGCATTCACTGTGTCTTGTTCACAGGCTAGTCCTCAGCAAGAGGAAATACGGTTGGGAACGTATGAGTTTATTCTTACACCTTAGAAGCTCTTACAGCATGACCATCAACAGGCTGCCTCACTGTCAGGGAACAGCTCACCCTTCCTTAAGGACAGGAAGCTCCCCATCCTGGTGAGACAGGAGGTACAAGGACCAAGCTACTTATAAAATATATTTAATGTCTCCTCCAGGAATGCTTTAATACATCAATTCACTTCCTTAGAGATTGCTTTAGATGAAAACATTTATAAAGAAAGAAAGGGGAAAGCATATCAGAGTTTGAATAAACGAGTTGATTTTACAGAAAAAACAAGCAATGCATTACCCTCCCCATCACCATCACTTACAAGCTCAAGAACACAGACTGAACTGTTAAGTGCCAACACTTTCTGGATTTCAGATGGAAGCCTTCCACATTGAATCTTTCCTTCCTCAACCCAGAACTGAAGTAAATCATGGAGATTTATTGCAAGCTATCGGTTATTGCTTAGTTGCATTACAGCAGCATTTTCAAGGGCCAAATGGCCTCATCGTTCAGCAGCTGTACAAACACATGCCACGTGCACACACAAAGTAAGAACCTCACAGCACAGAGGTGGCATGAAACAAAGAGGAAACAGTCACAAACACAGCTGATAAGAAACTAAAGTCAAGAACCTGGTCCAGTACCCTCTTCACTAATGCTCATTACCAACATCAGTAAGTTGTCTAGCAGCACTGTTGTTAGAAAGGAGCCTGGTCTTCAGAGATCTGCCAGGTCTCCATGTGACTTTCTCCTCTTTAGTGTCAAGACATTATCTGCTGGCTATTTGCTATTTGGCAGGTGGAAACAGGTGCAAACTATGATTCACCAGCAACTCTCTCTGGGTCACTACCCGATGGATGGAGACCAGCTCCAAAATCAGCATTAAAAGGAGTGATATGATTTGCAGAGACAACAGGTTTGTGCAGTGTACAATTTGTTCGTTCCACAGCAATCCACCCAAACACAAAGGAAGCCAGCAAGCTGTTCCTCTGCAAATCAGGGAAGGAAATTTGCCACCTGTAGGCAAAGTTGCAGAAGCAGAGAGGCTCTACGGTACATAAACTAAAGCCATAGGTAACATGTTATTGGGCTGACCCACTCCAGAGGCTTTCAGATCTGCAAGCTATGAAGCACAACCTACAAGCACAGAGGAAGCTCTTCAGAAGAAAGCACATTTTCCTGAGAAACAGAAATGGGTGGGCACTTCAAAATCAACCAGCCCTATTGCGTGTGCAATATCTGCTGTCCAAGCAGAACTGTGCTGCCCTCCAGCCAAGGCATAACATGTGGGATTCTACCTCACCCTGTTTGTGAGAAAGTTGCAGCAGTGTTTCCATGCTCTGTGGCTCCCATGACAGGCAATATCATAACTGAGGTCTCCAGCTTTGGGCTGGAAACACATTGTCACAGAAGTGACAAACAGCTTGTAGTGGAGAAACAATCCCCTACCAATTGCACAAAGGAAGAACAAAGGTGGTAAGATGCAGGCTCCCTGTGGTTATACAGAAACTGTACAGAGCGATGTGCATTCAGCTACAGGCAACAAGTTTCAGAGCTACCAAAAGAGCTAAGTCAGCAATACAAGCCAAAAGGGAGCGTGGGCGAAGGGGGAATAAAAAACAGCAAGTTACATACCCACAGTCTATCCAGCTAATAGTACCTCGTCCTTTCACCTCCTGGGCCACATTAGACAGTAACCTGAGTGAGCTTTCTGCAGCCGCAGCTGGAAGAAACAAACAAAAAAAAAAAGTCACCAACAGCATTATTACTCCATAGAGAAGAATATAATGGTGCATTCCTTTGTTCTGAAGCACTGGAACTTCTTCTCTAATCTGAAGAGACTGCTAAGAGAAGGATCAGCAAAATCTTCTGTAAACCAGAAGAAACGCTGGCTGCAGCTACAGCAGGTGGCTCCTTCCCATCTCACTCCCCCTTAAAATTCAGATTCATCCCTCCATGCATTCCTTGACCTATATCTATAGAGCAACGCCATGTTCTCTTCTGCAAACCAGCTTCTATCCAACAACACTTTTTTCCCCATGGCTCAGCACAAACTGGTTCATGCCACTGCTTGCTAATTAGAGCATTTAATTAAGAAATTCCATCAGCTGTAAGGGCAAGTCATTCAGCTTCTCTTCCTGTCTCAGTCCCACTCCTGTAATACTTACCTAATAGCAGGCTGTTATTCTCATATTAACCATGGGAAACAGCCAAAACAGAGGTCGGGGGGAGCTCAAAACTATGAGCAGAAGGCACCTAGAAAAGCTTCTTTCAAGAACTGGCTGCACACTCAAGTGAGATTTTTACAATGGCCATGTCACGTGTGAAGTTTTTGCAAAACATTTCCATTCCAAAGCACTCTTATAAATGGTATTAAAAATAAACAAAGAAGAAAAATGGAATGAGCAGTCAAAAAAGAAAAGAGAGCCCCAATACCAACTCCCCAAACAGTCTCTAATGGAGACTGTTCCCTGCCTCAATAAACAAAATACAGAAATCCTTGAACTACTTTACCTTTTGCTGTATCCAGATCACTGGAATAGAAGATACATGGAGTGTAAGAGCAGGTGTACTGGGTTAGATCAAACATCTACATAAACCAATAACTTGTCTCCAAGAGTGAGAAAAGTGAATGCTTATGACCAGAGGTAGACCCAGCAGGCAGTGATAGTTCTGTTTCCTTCAAGTAATTTCTAGTTTTTAGAAAATTTTATCCCAAGGTTCCTGAGGCAGAAGCAGCTTCCTTGTATTCAACAGCCTCTGTGGGCCTCGATGCCACCAGAGCCTCCAGGCCATTCCTGTTGGCTCAAGAAAATCCTACCCCAAGGTGTTGGTAACGCACAGCTGTGGCAGTGCACAACAGCCACCTCTCCACTACACAGGGACATGGATTCAAGGGGGAATTCTTCCTGCACTCATAGCACAACAGCTCAACAAGCTCCCTTTAAAGAGGGCAAATGAACATAAGCATTTGGGACTGGACAGACTCCTCCCATAAGTCTCACTAGTTGGGCAGCCGTGACAGGACATCCAGCTGATAGGATGAACTAGATGTCCCCCTCCAAGTGGGGATATTTCCTGAAACCAACACATTTTCTGCATGAGATAGGAATGCTCATCTAGTCATGCTCCACCGAGAAGCAAAGCCTTGTTCCAGCATGACCAGTTGTTGGCCAATGGCTCATCACAGCTAGAGGGGATGTATCTGGGATTAAAGTTCCTATCTCTGTATTCTCATCTTCACTTCCCCTCCCCTTTTTCCTTAACTGGGTGACAGTTATGCAAGAGCATTCTAATTGTGCAAGGATCACTGTGCGAGGGAGAAACATTAATCCCACTGCCAGCTCTGCATGCGGCGCTTCAGACTGCTAAAACCAACCAATTAAATAATAAAAACAGAAAAAAGAAATCTCCGCAACACACTTTTTCAACAATGCCTATAGGGCAACATTTATTTGATGACTGTCAGAGCCAAAGTGCTCTGGTTGTGCTACTAAAAAAAAAAAAAAAGAAATTAAAGCAACCACCACTTAAAGTATTAAGCATAAAAAGAAAATTTTCCCTTTAAAAAGCTGAATAATACAGATGTCTTTTTTTTCCCCTTCATTTAAAGCATACCTTTCAAAAAAATCACTGTTCAAAACTCTTTTCTGACTTTCACTTTGAAGCTGTTACTGAAAAACCATTTGTCCATGTTTTAGCCCTCAGAATTTCCCATTAGAACAAAACACAAATACTTCAACAAAACTTGTCACGTCTGTCATTTTAACTGTCACAGAATAAGCCCATCTATAGAAAACAAAGTTAACTATCCCAGCATCCACACATTTTTGTCTGCAAAATTCTGATAGTGGGGGTGGGGTTGGGTCCCCACATACAGCTCTGGTTTGCCATGCTTCAAACCCAGCGATCCTCCTGACGTCACTGTGTCTAAACTAAGACCTTTGCAACTGGCAAGAAAGGAAAGATGCAACCCCCAAGCAAAACTTATCCTTGTACCACTTGTCCAAGAGGAAAGTAAAGGAGGCAACAAAATAACAACACACCCAAACAGTACGCAGAAAATCAACTCAGTGAACGGTTTTTCTTCCTGCTCTCCAATGTGTTGCATGGGCACAAGAGCATCCTGAAGTCGTGCACAGAGCTTCAAGATTGCTTCTTAATTTTCTATGGCGCCAACACAAACAAATAGCAAACAAAAAAAATCATCAAAACAAATGAGGTGACAAAGGTAAAGAAGGAACAGAACACAGCAAAAGAAAGAGCAAACAGACAGACATAAGCAAGAGTGAACAACTAGAATGAGAGAGAAGACAGCAAGGAGATTCAAGGGGACAGGTGGCATGATGTGAAGTGAGCCATTTTCTCTCTCTTACATAAGCAGCTCATTTTTTATTTCTATATTTTGTTCATTAGAGTTGAAAGACAACCGTGGGACATCCAAAGCTGTCAAAAGCAAAGACGGGCTGATTTCAGAACTGTAACTATTCATTAAGCCTTTCAGTGCCACCAGCAAATCGAAACTCGCCAACTACTGCGATAAGCACACCAGCAAGCTCTGACTGATAGCTTTTGTGAGCAGCCATTTTTTGGCTACAAAGCCAGAAGGTACATTTTCACCAGTGACAGAGCAATTAAAAGATCAAATTAAGAAACCCTTCTATCTTGAGACATCAGGAGTCTCTGCAACAGAACAAAGGACACCACTCCTAAAGAAGCCCTTGTGCTGCACCTTGCAGTCACATAAGGTAACACAGAGCAAACAGCGAGGACAAAGAGCTCAGTCATTTGAGTAGAACACATGAATATCCACAAACACATCCATGCTATTGGGCCCAAAGACCTGGGTCAGTCAGGAGGAAAGGAACTCACCAGATTTGGAATACAGCACTAGTACGTTGTTTCGTGTCCTGAGAAGCTTCTTAAAATCCTTGTGGTCACTTATTTTTTCTATGAGAGGAGACAATTTCAATGAGTACCCAAACACCAGCAGAAATGCCTACAGAAAAAAAAAAAAGCCAGAAACATTAGAAATAGTTTCCACACTGAGAAATAAAACACAAACTGCTCTTGAAATTGCCTTGATCTGTTTCACAATCTGGAGATGTACTGCCATAAATAAACTATTGTGTTGATGTGACCAGCAAAACAAATGAACGAAAGAAGCCATAACCATGATTTACTGAAACTGGACCATTACTGCTCCCAGTAAGCAACCTTAGGTTGAAAGATGAGGTAAATTTAACATCCAGAAATATGTTTACAGTTAAAAAGTCATTGCCTTTAGAAGTTTGTTCCTTTAATTAGAAAAAATTCCTACATAAATTTAATATACAGTAACGAGAGATGCAGCAAAACACTGCTCTGAAAGCCCTCTTGCCCTGATTCTTTAAATCCTCTGAAAACCCAGAGGAACATGTCCATACCCTGCAGAAGGCAGCAAGAGCCATGCGGTTAAATAACTAACCCAAGCTGACACGGAGCAGATGAAGGAAACAAAGGCAGAATTTCTAAGCAACTGTGTCTGCACTTAGAGGCACAGCCCCCTCCCAACCACCCTCCTCCAAGGGATGATGGCTCAGCTCCCCACCAGCCACACCACATCCCAGTGCCTTTGCCACAAGATCGGGCTTGGCTTCCACCATGTCTCACAGGCATGTCTCTTAGTCTCTCTGCATCCAGGCAAAGAAATCACTTCTTTTGTGGCATCTTCTAGCCTACTTAAAATCACAGCTGCTCCACAGCAGAATTTGTCTTTTACTCTGCCATAAAGTAAAACTAGCAAAACACGGCCATAACCTTCCTAGAGCCTCCAGTGTTCATTTGTGCCGCAATAATCTTCAATAATAATAATAATAATCTTATCCATAAGGCTGCGCCGCCTCCCTTCTGCACAGTAATGAATTCATACTAATGGAATGATTATGGGAAGCTTAGCCGGAGAAATTATCTAGTTTACATTCACCTTACAGTAAAACCTTAACACTTAATTGCTGGGCTAAAAGCTTTCATTCATTTGCCAAAAACACACACAAGATGTTCCACATCTCCTCAATTACAGGACTAATTTTGATCAGGTCTCATTCCAGCTGAGTTGTAAAACTTAGGTCCAGGGTGGATGGGAAGAAGCAGGGTCCTGTTCCTCACACCATGCCTGCTACAGATTGCAGCATTCAAAACAAGGCACTCAGCCAACCCAACTCAGAGGATGCAGCCCCAGGCATTGTTTCATTACAAAGCCAGTTATCTGCTAACACCATGTCAACGAGACACCTATGAAACACAGTTTGAAAGAACCAGAAGCTTTTTCCACATGTCGAGCAAGGAGGTACATGGAAACAGTTGAACTGGAAGGACTGCCATCCTCAAAGCAACCTCAGGACATGTTTAGGAAGAACTGCTAGAAGATACACCTGCAATATACAATGCAAAAGTACAACAGGCAGCACAAGCTTAGGGCAAACAGGTCAACCCACTGCATAACACTGCTCCATCAAATCCCAATGCTTTATGTCATCTGACACACTCATTCCTCCAAATCCAGCTGTCCAGAGCTCAACCTCTCTCCTTCAGGCTGATGAACATGAATCACTTGTGTATTTTGTGAGGTAAATACACAGTGCTGCCAATCAATGCTGACAAACACAGTTGTGCTAGGCGAGGTGACACAGGCATTCAAATTCCTGCTTAAAACTCATTGCAGTCAGGAGCTGTACAGGAAGGATTAATCTAACATGGCTTTATGAGCACATCTCTTTAATCCTAAATATTTTTTAAACACTTTCCCCACAACTTTATGCAATCACTCAAGTATCCTACTGTTTTATTTCTATCTTCAGTTACAGGAGGCTAAACTCAACCTGCACTGAAAGCAGGGGAAAAGCAAAACTGTAGCCTGTTCCCTTGGTTTAGAAACCTGCAGTTAAATCAGGAGAAGTAGGTCTGAACTTACTGCTGATAAGAAAGAATTGGAATTAAAAACAACACACACAAAAGCCACTTTCAATATGACACCACACAGTATTACGAACTTTGCTTAAAAGCATCCATAGAGTTCCACTCATAGCTTGACTGCACATGTATCTCACGTCTCTTCCAGATGGAAAGGCTGTTTAGGCCATTTCAGAAGGTTTTTTTGCTGTTGTTATAATGGCAGAGCTATAAACCTTTTGAAAAATTGGATTCTGGAAACAGTGACAGCTCTAACTACTGCCTCGCCTGCGTTGCCACTGAGAGAAAGCATGCCATGCTGGTGGAACTGCAGCACTTCAAGGGAAAAGCACGAAACGTTGCAAAGATGTGCTGTTATCTCACCCTATTTCTCTCAGGGCAACACAGCAATGCTCACATTGCCGTGGTCTCACTGCAGCACCTCTCTCTGATGCTCCAGCTCGGAACAGAAAGGCACCACATACAAGCACGTCTATCAGCCCCACTCAATAAATCATCATTTCCCTTTAATTAAGATTAACGTTCCAGCCTTTTTTTTTTTTTTGTCATAAAACCCAATCTGATCTGAGCCAGTAGCACCAGCAGGGCAGCAGTGCCCCGGCTGCCACCTCAGGCAGCAGCACAGCACCAGGAGGTTATCGGCTGCACCGAGGAGTTCACGCCTTTCCAACCAGCGTTTGCATTGCGCTGTGTTTGCAAAATGATAAGAATTCAGTAGTTCTGTGCTCTCTGGCTTTCTCATGCAGAAATGAATGAGGGCACACTGCTTCTTCTTTAAATCCAGGGCACGAGAGGAGACGAGGTCCTATTAAAAAAAGATGTCATGGAAGATGTCTGTTCCTCCTGGGCAGGAGGTTGCTTCCAGATGCATCACACCAATAGAGAAACGAGCTAAACCCTACTTTCGCTTGAGCATCCTAAAGCTTTAAAATCTGTGCACAACCACTGCGGAACAGCTAAGGAAGACTCCAAACGCTTTACCTAAAAGGTGAAATGAGAAGCTGCTTCCCTCAGCAGCCTTCAAAGCAGAAGGCATACAAGGACCATACCAACACCTGCACCATCCCTATTTCAGAGGGCTCTGCTGATGACGAACTGCAGTAAAACTGGTGGATGGTCTGCTCTATTTCATGCTGTGTTTGTACACTGCCCAGAAGTACGGGTCCTCCCAAGGTTGCTCTGCAAGCTGTACCTGATACAGCCATCACCTCCACAGCCTAAGGACCTTCAGAAAAAGCATACACAACACAGACTGCAAAATGCAAACCTGGAGCACTTCTCATCTAGGTAGTTCCCCCAGCTCATGAGCTGAATGGGAATTTATTTTCACAGTGCTGCTCTGTGTAGGTTGCATGTCACTCACAGGATCGCAGCATCTGATACGAGATGCATCACGGATTCTCAGGTAAAACACAAGTGAACCAAATCCCTCAAGACAGCCAATTCAAACCTGCTGGGAGATGCTGCTGTTTGAATACAAGGTACAAAACACGTGTTCTGCCTCTGCTCTTCAAATCAAAGCCCGTATTTAAATACATAATGTTGCAAGCTAGGTGGAAGGAGTCAGAAAGGTTTAATTTTCCCTTTTCTTCCCCCGCTCCCCAGCAATTCCTCACAGAGCTGCTGAGCACACACGTGTTACCAACAGCCAGGCACTCCACAGCCCCTCTGTTAGAGCTGCACCTGAGACAAACCTGAGTCTTCAGAAACCCAGAGGCAAAGATAACCCTCCGGCAGATAACTATTTGCTAATTACACAGCCAGGACAGACACTAGTGAAAACACGGCCATCACTCAGGCCGTGCTTTTTGCAAATCACCAAGGACCTGAGAAAGCAGAGCTTACTCCCCGAGTTGTTACTCTTCTCTGAATCTCATTTCAGAATGAAAAATGGGAATATTTTTTAAGCTGACACAAGAAGACATTTTCATATTTTACATTTATTATTCAAATGAAAAGGAATAAACGTTCCATTCTCACAGAACCTCAACCTTAATCCTCACCTCAATTCACAATTTGCTGCCCACAAAAACTGCACAACAGCACAGACTCCTGCTATGGACAAGCAGCATGGCTGGAGGAGAAGTTTGTATCAAGGACAATGGAAACACAGTTTTAAAAACAAGAAAATACAAACCCAAGTTCAATAAGGAAGAACCATCAGAGGAGCAGAATTGCAAAACTGACAGAAAAAAAACTATTTCCTATTCTCTCATTTCCAGTTCAAGAGCATGAAATATGCATTTCCCTGGACACAAATTATGCTTAAAAAATACAAAGGGATACATGGCTGAAACACTGCTTAAGTGCCTGCATCCATATGTCAACATGCAATTTTTATGCGTGCACTAACACTTGCATGTATAATTAGGGAGGCAATTTGCACACCATTCATCAGGAGTGGCATGGGTGATGCGAACGGTGCTGATTGCAGCTCAACTGCTGTTCGGCAGGAACACAGCCACAATTCCAAATGCCTGTCCTCCAGCAACATATTGACTTTGAGTTCTGTCTTAGCTTAATCACCCACTGATGTCATTTTCATTTTGGGACAACAGTGTTCAACCCACTGCAAATATGGTCAAAGAGTGACCCTGTGCATATGAAACAGATTGTGTCTGACAAAGCATTTTATGGGAATTTAGCTGAAGACCAAACCTGCCTCGGAATTTCAAGCAGCAGTGCAGATCACAGAATTTAATTTCATAATTGATTTCTTTCAGAGGGGAGTAGTTCACATTCTAAAAAGATGTCTTGCCTGATACATTAAAGTGAGGAAGGGAAAAAAAAAAAGCAACAAATCCCAATAACAAGACCAGACTTCACTTTTCCTTTCCTGTTCAGTCTCCAAAACAAACCCACAGCAAAGCACACACTTTGCCCCAGAATGTGAGTTTGAAGGAACATCCCTACGCTGTGGGATGCTGCTCTGTGAGCCTGCAGACAAGCCAGGGGCACAGGCAGATCCCAGGGTGCAGCAGTGCACCAGCCACCTCCAGGTGAGAGAAGGAGGGGCACAGACACGGCGCTCCCTTCCCCCCAGTTTGTTCCAGCTTAAAAATACAAGATGTTCAAATCCAAAGCTCTCTTGTTTACAAGAATCACCATTTGACTGCAGATGTTTTATCTTCCTTTTTCATCATACCAGCCACTCTTGACCTTGTGCAATAATTGCTTGCTTTTCACTCAAGTCCTCCCTCTGCTGCTATTTACATTCAGGGCTGTGCAGCTTTGATCACTCAGCCATTTGTAAAAAACGTCTTCCACGATAGATAGTGAGATGTAGGACAGTCCCCCGTTTTCATTCATGATTACTATCCAAAATAGCTGCAGAAATGTTTTAATCAAATCAGATGAGTGGAAATAGGGTTATCTCTGTTACCCAAAGGTACCTGGAAGCCCTGTTAAGCACTGGCACACCACAGAGAGGTAGTGGATGCCCCATCCCTGGAGACACTTAAGGTAGGTCTGAATGGGGCTCTGAGCACCTGATGGAGCTGTAGGGGTCCTTGCTCATCGCTGGGGGGTAGGACCAGATGGCCTTTAAAGGTTTCTTCCAATTCCAACAAGTGTGGATTGGAGCACCCTGGTCTAGAGGGAGGTGTCCCTGCCCGTAGCAGAGGGCTGAAACTAGATGATCTTAAGGGTCTCTTCTAACCAAATCATTCTATGATTCTATGATTTATTATTCAAAGGAAGGGGAAGAGAATGGGTAATGAGATACATAGAAGTGAGATACATGGAAGATGCATTCTAATTCTGTATACAATCCAGACCAATTAATTCTCACCTCAAATCATGCAAGGAATAAAATACTAACAACAAAAGAACTGCCAGCACTTCACTGTGATGGGTCATGTATGAAAGAGGCAAGTGTCCCATCCTCTTCTGTTCACCAAGGAAGGCAAATCAAAATCCTGGCAGAATAGCCTCGTATTCTTTAAACTTAGTCTGAAAAATGCAACAAATAAAGCATTCAACTTGATGCAGCACTAGCTATGTTCACTTTCCAAATATAGAAGACAGAGAAAATACCATGGCGACGTCAAGATTTGCCTAGTCTCTACTGTTCATATTGTTCTTAAACACTGGGTTTTAAGGAACAGAAGCTACAGGCATAATAGCCTGTACTAAAGGTGGTTCCAAAGCTCTGCGTAGCCAATTAATTGTATGGTTTATCACCGGTTTTCAAATGCTTAGTGAGGGAAAAAAAAAAGGCAACTATTTGCTGATTAACAACTGACTGTAATAGGGTCAATTACTAATGCTGACGAAGAACTTCCTCCTTATTAGGGACGTGCAGCTCGCTCTCTCCAAGCCAAGCATCACTGCAAAACAAGCTGCTGGTGAAGGGCCATGTCAGATGCTGCTTCTCAACACACACATTGGAATAGCTTCAGAAACTCAGGGCACGAGAAGAGCAAGGCCCACACAACCCCCCACTAAAAACTGGTTTTGAAGAAGTTTAAGGAACTATCACCCAGCACAAGAAGCATGTAGGAGAGACTATAAAAAGAAGACAAAACAACTATTAATGGGACTTACGAAGAAGAGAGGGGAAAAAAAAAAAAAAAAGTGACATCTGAAAATCCTTAGCACTTCATACAGCAAACGTTATCTTCAAAGCACCGCACAAATATTAACTAATTAATCCTCACATTTTTCTGCCAGGTGAGAAGCAAATAAGCTTAACTTCTACAGCAGGAGCAGAATTCATGGGGAAAAGCAGAGCTCTGTGAGAGGCAAAGCAGAGGCAGTGCCTGCACGAGTCAATGATCCCAGAGCAGCCCACAGTGTCCTCAGTGCTGGTGGTAAAAAGGGAGAGACAGGTTGAATGCAATCACCCCAGAAACTACAAAGAAAGGTCTCATTACTCCCTATTTTACTGAAATCATAGAATCAGTAAGGTTGGGAAAGACTACTAAGGTCACTGAGTCCAAGTGCCAGCTCACCCCCACCATGCCCACTGACCATGTCCCTCAGTGCCACATCTACACGCTTCTTGGAACACCTCCAGGGACAGTGACTCCACCACTTCAAGGAACAACAATGCTGAAAAGCAAATATAAATGGTCAATAACAGAGCAATGTCCACAGCTGATTGCCCATGGTGTTGTGAGCTCAGTTCTGGGCAGAACCATTGCTCCTGGTGATCACACCACACTTGTAGCAATGTCCCAGCTCTTCTAAAGGGAATTTCAGCTCAAATGCCAGTAGATTCAACATATCATTCCATAAGGCCTACACACCTGCCAGAGGGCCACACCGCAGAGCTGCCTGCAACAGGGAGCCCACTCAGCCTCCACCAGCCAGGATCCAGGAACCCGTGTCCCTACCCAGCACTGCACAGCAGTGACATTGTCAGGGACTTGCTGACTCCAGCAGCTGGAAGCCTGAAATGTTCAAAGCCTTTCTCTGAAGCACAGCATTCTAGCAGCACCAGGTCAAGCAGCCTCGCGCTTCCTGAAAGTGTAAGCTGGCCAACCTCTCTTGATTCAATTTCCCCGTCACTAAACCAACAGGTGGAGGATTAACCAATCTTTGCCATGCTGGGCCCAGATAACACTTGTGTTTGCATGGCAAACGTGTCCCAGGTGTGTTGTCCTGCTAGGCTCTGTTTGGGAAGGGACAGCACCTGACCCCCCAATGGCAATTTCACCCTATTGGTAAGCTCCCTCCCTGTGCCACCAACATTAAGTCTGGTCCTTCAAGCACAGGGTCTGGCCAACCACTCACTCAACCCAATGGGGAAGTACCCAAACCACAGCTTCCCTACAACTCCAGCTCATTCAAGAAATAAAACAGAGATCAGCACACTACCTCTCTTGAGCGTGCACCATGAATCTGCAACGATGCAGGAGACCACTAAGCATCTTCCCTAAGGAGATCCCAAAGCATTTTGTCCACCCAGCTCACAGCTTTCCTTGCACAAACACAGGAAGTCCCACAGAAAGAAGGATTTCAATGCATGGAAGCTGCCTCCAGTTTGGGGTTCTGCCCCTATTTTTCAGGAGCACTAAGCATGCACCTGGGATTGCAGCTCGAGCTGCACATCTGGCACTCTGCATTTCCACAACGAAAAAAAAAAAATAACATAAATAACATTCAGGTACATAAAGAACTGTGTCAACCCAAACTGTAAACATCATGCAAGGCATGGCCAGGAGGAGACAATGCTCTCGTTACCCTCTGCCCCCAGCCAGCCACGTTGCTTTAACTCTGCACAGAGAATGTCTCTGTCGAGCAGCCCCACTGGCTCTGCAAACACAGGCTCAAGCAAAACCCAAAGGCAGGTTTTGCAATGTCACAGCTGTAGGCTGCGTTTAATCCGGCATACAGCGAGTTACATATTTCAAGATGAAAAAACACACCTTCATGTGCAAGAGAATGCAAATTGGAAGAAATAATTTAAAGTACTTGTATACGGCAGAGGGGAAGGAATTAGCTGAATCAACAGCTCGATGGAGACATCTGCTCAACACGCAGCACCACAGTGCAAATAAAATGCCGGGGCAAATTAAGAAGGGGAAGAGAGAATAGTGTGGATAAGTGACAATGGCATCAAATAATGCCACTGACAATGGCAGCTCACTCCGCTCAGCTCAAAGGCAACAGGTCTGCAACAGCAAAGGCGCAAAGAAGGGCAACTAGAAGGGCTGGAAACAACACATCCACCTGCAGAAAGGCTTCTTTTGTCAGAAGGAAAAGTAGCTTCTAACGTACAAAGAGATCTCACAGAAAAATACCTGCATTAACACAGAACAAACGTTACAGTGGGAGAAGTCCCGCAGCCTCAGCCAGCAGAATACAAATAACCCTCCACGCTCACCGCTTTAGAAGGAAGGGAAATCCAGCCCCGGACCACAGCACACGCTTAATCCCCGAGCACACTGCCCCGGGTCTCGCAGAGAGCCGCGTGTACGGAAGAGGCGCCGAGGCGGGGAAGCCTCGCGGCCACGTCCGGCAATCGAGGGAGCACAGCCCCCCGCTCCGCTCCATCCCAGGACCCGAGCCACGGAGGAGTAAAGCCAGCCTCCCCACGGAGCACGGCAGTGCGTACGCTGCCGGGGCAGTACGGTGCCACATCGGCCACGGCCACGCGTCCGCACTCGGTCTGTTCGAACCAGGTCAGCGACTCCAGATCGCGCGGATCTCAGATCCGGCATGCATAAGAAAATTAAAGTAATTAGGCATTAATTATTAACTCCATTTGTCTAGGAAGAACTATAGTTCACGTCAGCCAAGTTAAAGGCGCCTTTCAAAGCGTTCAGCCGATGCCGGCAGCAACTCACCGACCCGCGGCCAGAGGAGCAGCGCCGGACCCGACCCGCAGCCGGGGCTCTCCGCGCCCGGACTGCCTCGTCCCGCACCACCGCCCCGCAGCAGGAGCGGGGCTGCTGTACAGCTCGGACGGGGCGGGACGACAGGGGCTCCTCTCTTTTCTCTCTTTTTATATTTTTTAAGAGAAAAGCAAGGCAGCAGGGCTGGGGAACACCTGGGAGAAAAGCCGTCCCGGCCGTGCCCACCCCGCCCCGCCCCGCCAAGCCCCGGCCAGGCGGCGGCACCGCCGCGCCCAGCCCCGGGCCCCGTCCCGCTCCCAACTTCGCCCAACTCCGCCGGCCGCACCCCGGGGCCGGGACGCGAAGCCGTCCTGCGGTCACCCCATCGCTCCCCCGGTCCGGCCGCCGCCACTCACCGTCAGTCCGAGCAACAGCAGCGGGAACCGTCCGCAGCACCGCGCAGCTCCCGCACGCTGCCCCGGCACAGCCATCGCCGAGCACGGCGCTGCGGGCTGCGGCTGCCGCTGCCACGTCTGGCGGCGCACGCGCGCTTCGTCGCTCCCGCCCGGCCGCGCAGGGCATGCCGGGATTTGTAGTCCGCCGCGCCGCCCCCGGGAGGGCTGCGGGAGTGCGCCTGGACAGCGGCCGCCATGCCGCGGGGGGTTGTGCCGTGAGCCTCCACCTCACTCCCAGCATGTGCTGGGCTTACAGTCGTAGAATCATCCAGGTTGGAAAAGACCTCTAAGATCTAAGATCGTGTAATCCGTCAACCTGTCCCCACTGTGCACACTAAACACGTTCCTTACTGCCTCATCCACATGGCTTTTCAACATCTCCAGGGACAGTAACTCCACTGCCCTGTATTCCAGCACAACACTGCTCTTTCAGAGAAAAAATGTTCCCTAATACCCAACCTGACCCTATAACTCCAGGCCATTCCCTCACATCCCACCGCTGTTATCTGGGAGCAGAGGCCAACTCTAACTCACCACAACCTCTTTTCAGGGAGTTGTAAAGAGCCATAAGGTCAGCTCTGAGCTGCCTCCAGTCTGAACAATGCCAGTTCCCCCTGCTTCTCCCCATAGGACCATGCTCCAGACCCTACACAGCTCTGCGCCCTTCTCTGGACACCCTCCAGGACCTCAATATATTTCTTGTGGTGAGGTGCCCAGAACTGAACACAGCACTCGAGCTGTGCCCTGACCAATGCACTATTGCTGATACAAGCCAGGATGCCATTGGCCCTGTTGGCCACCTGGGCACACAGCTGGCTCATGTTCAGCTGGCTGTTAATTAACACCCACAGACACTTTTCCACCAGGCAGCTTTCCAACCACTCTGTCCCAAGCCTGTAGCATTACATGGGGTTATTGTGATCAAAGTGCAGGATCTGGCACCTGGTCTTGTTGAACCTCACACAACTGGCCTCAGCCCATCAATCCAGCCTGTTCAGATCCCTCCATGTAGCCTTTGCTACTGGCAAAGGGGTTGATGTGCTTTTGTCATACTCTTTAAAAATAACTGCTGGTTTTAGGTCTAAGGTGTGAGGTGAGTGAGGGAAACAAACAGTGAGGAAAGGGAGATGGGAGTTAATTGGAAGAGAAGCTTAGGAGGTGGGACTCCTAGGAATTGACTGTTCTCTGGCCAGTTGTTCCTACATGCAAATGTTAAACCCTAAAGAAGAGCCCCGCAACCCTCCAATGCCAGACAGCAAGCAGTCAGACCACTCAGTCTGGATCCACCAACCCTGATCTGGATCAACGTCTGCAGCCCCCACCAACAGGTCAACGTGCCACATGCCCACTGCACCGATGGGCATCCCAGCCCTCCTGTTGTCTGTCGCAGCCTGGTGGGACCCAATCTCCTGCCACGTGCTGCCTAGAGCTCTTCCTCTCTGCAGCAACATCAAAGGGAAATCAAAGGTGTCTGTTGCAGTCTGATCATGGTGGCTGGCTGTCGCCTGAGCATTGTGCCATGAGAATGGCTCCAAGGGAGTAATTTGTAGATCCATGCAGCTGACTGATCGCTTCAAGTGGCGATCATGAAAACTGAATGCCACTGACATTAACAAGTCCCTCGGTGGAGATGTAATTTTAGCAAAGCAGAAGTGCACAAAGAGAAAGTCATTACTGTTAAAGTTTACGCTTTCGTGACATCTTTTGCAGTTGAATCTGTGTGCACTGTCCTTGGTCACAACTGGATAACCTTCAGCAAGTCATTTCATGGAGCTGTGCTTGCAGAAGGTCCAGACTGGCCAACCTGCAAACAGAGTTGGCAATCCTCAGTCTCCCTGTAATGAACTGCTGAGTAGAGGTGAACAGCCCTGGAACCATCAGGAGTTTAGGATGAGGAAGGGTGGGCAGCCAGAGAGAGTCCAAGGAAGGAAAGGTGTAATAAGTAAGTGTAATTTTGCAGTGGAAGGACCCAAGACAAAACATGCACTGCATCAGATGCCTGTATGTGTACTGCTGCTTTTTACATGTAGTCTCTGCTGACTGTACTGGTGTTTCTGGTGCTGTGTTCCTCACTGCCAGAGCTGGTGCTTTCCCAGCTGAAATAACAGCCTACCAGCAGCAGGCCACGGATCCCAAACTGCAGTCCATTTCAAACAAAACTTCCAGGAAGAGGTCTCCTCTTCCAGATGCTGCTCACCTTCAGATAACCAGTCCAGAGCTGAAAGGCTTCTGCAAACCACTATGCTGACTCAGCCAGACCTCTACTATCAGCTGGATACCCAGGTCCTCAAAGGCTGTTTGAATCCTCCTGTGACTCTCATGTGAAGAAAACTGATACATCTGACGCTTCACATCAGTTACCAGTACCAGATAATGCTAAAGTAACCACAGGTAGTGGCTTTTCTGTGCTGCATCATCACCATGCAGGATGCACTGCCCTTGTGGCAGGAAAGAATAAAACTCTGGATCATCGTTGTTTTGTTGCAGGGTGCTTTTTTGCCGTAATGGCAAGAGGAAATTATCTCAGGAAGAAAGTAAAAGAAAGACAGAAGGCAAGGATGATACTTGAAAATGGGCTTCTGAAAGATTACACAGAAAAATTCCACTTTGGGAAGCTACAATTCTTGTATATGGAAGAATATTAAAAGGGTATTCTTGTGACAACTACAGTTTCTTTCTTTTAGTTCAGCTCGATAATTTGTATTGACATGACACGCGTTGCCTAAACTTAAAAGACAGAATCATTGAGCATCTGTCTTAGGTCAAAATAATATATCACTTATCAGCTCTGAACTGGGCTTTACACAGTGGCAACCACTTAATCAGTCCAGTCGTGCATTACTAAAGAACTCATTACAGCAGTATCTGAGTGCACCACTATCCAGTCCCAAGTTTTACACTATATCCATGTAGTATTAACATCATATGCTGCTTGCTTCTCCATGCTTTTAATATTTGTATATGGTACCTCAAGATGCTGTCAAAGCATTCATTAATTCACCACTGAGAAGCAGGAAAGCATTACTGCCCTTGGATTATAGATCAGAAAACAGTAGCAGAGAGATTATATGATTTGCCCAAGGCTATAAAACCAGACACTTTCAGATGAGGTTCATTTCCAAAAGTCTGCACTGGAACTGCTAATCCTTACTTGTCTGTCTATATTCAAATGCCTGTTTTACCAAGAATTAAATACAAAATGGATTGACACTAAGTATGTCTGCATCAAATCACACCTTCCATGTTTTCTATATGTTTCTGCTTCATTTGACAAGGTTTATTCTTTGTTCTCTTTTTAACCTGAGCAAGTCTCTGGAAGCCTCAAAGTAAAGGTAAAATGAGTCACCTTTACCACAAAAAAATGACAGCTGAATAGACAGGAAAAGACATGAGCACTTTGCAAGCCAAACTGAATCCAGGGGCAACCCAGTGGTTTACACCAGGACCCCAAATCACATAGCATTTGCCCGATGTGAAAGCGGGATTCCCTCACTGCCTTAACTGCAGCAAGGTCTCCTCCTTCCTTCCAGCACCATCTCTTTCTTCCTTATTCAGCTCCAGCCAATTGATTGTAATCTTTGGGCTTATCTCTTGTAAGTCTTGTGACATCTGTGTCATGGCACTGATTGCATCAGCCGAACATGCAAGCTGGTTGCCATCAACAGATTGATGGTATCAAAGCCCTGGGCTCCTCCTGACCTTTCCTACAGCTCTTCTGCACATGATGGAAAGGAAAAGAGACAGCACCAGCCCCTGTAGGATTTTACATGGGAGTGGTCTCAGAGAAGAGACACAGCTGCACACTGCTTTTCTCCAGCAGACGTCTGTCAGAGGGGAAAGCCTGAAGGCAGCTTTCCACTCCTGCTGCCTTCTCAGCATCTGGTAGCAGGGCTGCAGATGAAGCATATCCACACACTTCAGCTAACAAGTTATACAAAAGATCCTTAGCATGCCAAAAAGGAAAAAAAAAAAAAAAAAAAAGGGACGGGAAGGTGCAGCTGTTATACAGAGGATTGTTTCTTAGACTGAACATTCCAGTTTCATACTTTTGCATAAATCCTTTTGGATGCTATTTCGTTAATGGTGAAAATGCACTGTGAGTCTCTAGGGACTGCTGCCTGTAATTCTGCTGTAACATATCTGTGCTTTTCACCTGATTTGCTCTCTGCAGTGAATGGGAATGGCATGAAGGCAGATCAGGACAAGGTTTGGCTTGTAGGCTTTGTGAACAGCATCCTCAGTGCTCTGCAAGGATTCTGTATGCAGCCATGTCACTCAGTGTTTTCGTTTTCTGCATCCTACCCCTTTACGTCTCTGAGGTCTTGAAGGACTGTGCACTTTTGTATAGACCTCACACAGCACAAAGAAGAAATACACACCTACTGTGTGCTTTCATGGGAATTTTACTTTTGTACTATATTGTTGTTGTTTCCTTCAGTCTAGAATCAAAGTATTTTTGGGCCGCAGGTAGACAGATGCTCTTTATATATGAGGAAAACAACCAGTAGGTACTGCAGGAGTCAGTTAAAAGTAGAGTACAGATATTTTCCAAACTTTTCTTCCTGGGAATTTTCCATTACATTTTTTATTGCTTGCTTTAGGTGTGCCCCTTTACATTTAAGAGGTCCTACCATTAAGAACACTGTCATTTCTTTCACTGAATCTCCAAAGCTGGATATAATGTGTTCCTGAGTACCATAAAAGCCTTCTGCAGCATGGGCACCTTGCTGGCTGGTAGTAGATAATTTATGTCTCTCAGTTACCTGCTGAGAGAGTAGTTTAAACAAGATTAAAACAACCATTGGAGTCTAGCTGTTATGCAGTGGCTACAGCACTCCAGCATGTTTCCAAACTGCTGCCATCAAGACAGCTTTCTAGGGATTTGCAGAAGCTTTGTATAACACTCACAGTCTGTTTTACCTTGAATGCATCATCAGGAAAGGGTTGAACAGGGAGCTTGTGAGGAGAGTGGAGATTTGAATCTGAATTCAGCGTGTAGGTAAACCACAGCTTTCACGCCTGAGGATTTGCATTTCACAAGGTCTAGCACATCTCTGCCTGTAAAACAGAAATAGGTGCCTTAGTGGAGTTCAGGTAACACCCCTTGGATTGTGATGGTACCTGTGTACCCTAATAACAAGCCCCAGCTAGTTATTTTCAGACTCTACTGGTCTTTGTTGAGCTGGCAAAATATTTGTCTTTACTGCAGGACTTCACATACCCAGACTAGCTCTGTTGCTCTGCTCAGGGGTAGCCTCCCACCAAGGGTAGCAATGAGGAAGGAGATGGAGCTTCCTGTATGAGTGGAGCTATTATGCCTCTAGTCTGCGTTCACAAAATATCATACATACGTAGGACTAACTATGAAGGTAGGACTGTAAAGATATGACCAAAATATTTTTTGGTTTAAAGCAGTGTTTGCATTACTTGTCTCAGTCTTCAGTAGATCTGCATCCATCTATGGTAGCTGAGCATCTGTCTC